AATTAAACTAAGTTATGAAACATGGGACTCATTTCTAGTGATGATGATAATATAATGTTTAATTCCTTTTTGAAAATTTACTCTTCCAGTTTTCAAAAAAAAAAATAATAAAAATAAAATAAAATTTCAAATAAAATAAGTGATTGGATTACTGTAGGAATAATAACATCCTGTAAATGTAAAAGAGTACTCTGTATGGCATGTAGAAACAGTAATAATTCAGAATTAAGAAACTATTATAAAAATGCTGTAAGATTTTATCTAAGGTCATTAAGGAAGCTAAAAAACTAAAATATGATAACAAAATTCCAAAAATAAAAATAAAACCACCACATATTAAACTTAAATCTTTATCAACTAAGGAAATTTAAATTATAATTAAATCTCTCAAAGCAAAAAAAATCTTATGGATATGATGAGTTCCTTTTTCATTAGCTCTCCTTTGACTCGCATATGCAACAATGCGTTATCACAAGGAATTTTCCCAGATCGTTTAAAATACTCAGAAATAAGACTGCTGTTTAAAAAAGGTGATAAATCAAATATTTCCAACTATAGGCCTATATCACTTTTAACTTCATTCTCTAAGGTATTAGAAGAAGCTATGAGCATTCAATTGATTGAGCACTTAAATAACAATAACATTTTAGTGTAAGAACAGTTTGGTTTTAGAACAAAATCTTCAACAGATTAGGCTATATACAAGTTAGTGAATGAAATCTGTAAGACCTTAAACAGCAAAAACTTAATAGGAGGCATTTTTTGTGACCTAGAAAAGGCCTTCGATTGTGTTAATCATGAGGTTCTGTTGTCGAAATAGGAATTCTGTGGGATAAAGGTTAAGCTAAACTATTGCTTGAATCTTATTTCAGAAATAGATATCAAAGGGTTTTAATTACAAATATAAATCTTAATCTCAATGAATTTTCGACATGGGGCAAAATTAGACATGGTGTCCCGCAAGGTTCGATTCTGGGTCCGTTGTTATTTCTCGTTTATATAAATGATTTACCCAAAACTATAAATGATAAAACTGTACCTATATTATTTGCAGACAACACTAAATCGTTAGTTAAAAGTTCAAACTATGATGATCTCTGCGTAAATATAAACAATGCTTTTCATAGTGTAAATGAATGGTTCAAAGTAAACCAACTTTCTATAAATTTTAACAAAACCCACTACATTCAATTTACAGCTAGAAATAATAATCCTAAATCTGAAATAAAAATAATATGTGATAAAAACAAATTACATCTATATCCAATATTAAATTTCTTGGAATATTCATTGATAACATAATGTGCTGAAAATACCACATTGAGTGTATTAGTTCAAAACTAAGTGCAGTCTGCTAGATAATAAGATCGCTTAAACCACACACATCCGTAAATACCTTAAAAATGGTTTATCACTCTTATTTCAATTCTATTATGAATTATGGTTTACCCTTTTGGGGTAACTCACCCCAAAGTATAAAAATTTTTAGAATGCAAAAGAATGTAATTAGAATTATGTTGGGATGCAGAAGGAGGGAGTCATGCAGGAACTTATTTAGAGAATTAGAAATCTTACCTCTGCCATCTCAGTACATACTATATCTTGTGCTCTTTATGATAAAAACAGAAACAGATTCATAGTAAATTCAGAGATTCATAGAATAAATATCAGACAGCAAAATAATCTCCATCAGCCTCTTGTAAATTTGAATAAATACCAAAAGGGAGTTTACTGTTTAGGAACAAAGGTCTGTAATAATCTACCACAATATATTAAGGATATATCGAGTGACACTAAAAGTTTTGAGGTACAGTTAAAATAGTTTTTATATTTACATTCATTTTATTCTTTATAGGAATATTTTGGTTATAAATCTTTTTAAGATGTGAGTAGTTGTCTTGCTTTAATAGTTGCTTAGTTGTCTTTAATAGAAGACAAGACTGTCAGACTGTGTTCTGGTTTTTAGATGCTTATTATAGATATACACAATCTTTATATCCCTGTATACTAGTCTTTATTTCAATTTATTATATAATTAATGTATGTTATACAAAACTTATTAATGACATTGTGTTTTAACTATTGAAATTTAATTAATAGACTTTTATAAAACTGTACAAATTGTATAAGGTTTGCCATTACTTTTACTACTAAAATTAACTTATTTATTATATTGTATATGTTTATCAGTATTTTATACAAATGTGCATGCTACTGGATGACAACTGTAATCCTTAGTTGTGACTGTAACAAGGACGATCTCCACATCCGCATGAGAATGTACTCTCAGCAGGATTTATGGAAGGTGAATAAATGAAATGAAATGAGATGAATGACTGAAGCTAGCAAATGGTGTATAGAAGCAGATCATAACTATACCTACAGATTTGATATATTTTATATTAAACATTGTGATATTGTAACATGTATAGCTAGGAAACAGTGCAATAAACACCTCGCTTAATTGCACACAATGATAGGACACATGTTTATAGCTCATTACTAAGCAACAGTCAGTGCACCAGTCGACTGGTGTGATACCTGTCACATGACTCATTTTTAATGTGGTCCACACCATGCCCAGTGCTAAGCAACAGAACTGTAAACATATCTAAAATAATATGTTTTCTATGGGGTCCGTGCCAAAGGTTTATAAGGAAAAATGAAGTGTTATCATACAGTGAAGATTTATATGCTATAGTTAGTAATCCTGAGAGTGTAAGAACTAATTGTAGTTACGACTAGTGAAAATCCAATAAACCGATTCACCAGTCCAAACCTGTATCTTGGTCACCGAGACACATGACAGTACGTTAGCAGTTCCAAACATGGTGGTGTTGCTAACCTTTGGAGTTCTAGCTCAGAAAATGAGGATAGTCAAAATCCATATTACTGAAAATTGTGGATAGAAACAGATCACTAAAGTGTGTGACTACTAATTTATAGTTTCTGCTAGTCTTATCAGAAGCAAAGTAGACATGATAAGTTCTACCTAGAACTTCTTCTTTTGTGTTATTACCTCTACATATGCTAGAGTCACTGATAACTTATGAAATAAAATTATTTTGTGTGTTGCAGGACTTCCTCTTCCATATGATAAACCTATGGTCATCCATGAAAGTCAGCCACCTGCACCTGTACACACAGCTGCTGCCAAGCTCAGAATGGCAACTCTGCTTCACAAGGAGGTAAGATTTCTACTCTGTTGGGGAACTGTGTTTACGTATGCAATGAAAGTAGAGATTATTTGAGGGCTTTTCAACATTAATATAGAAGCAAATAATCCATAGTTAGTTTTGTTAGCTTAGTCAGTATAATGGCTAGACTATGGGCTAGATGGTCAGGAAACTTGGGTTCGTTTCCTTGTAAGGGCAGATATTCATCTCATCTCCATGACATCCATACCTGCTCTGGGGCCCATCCAACCTCCTAGCCAGTGAGTACCAGGGTTCTGTCCACAGGAGTAAAGCAGCTGGAGCATCAAGCATCAAGCTGATCACTCAGCTACATCTAGTGCTCAGGTTAAGAATTTAGTGGAGCTCTGCTTCCTCTCCACTGCATGTCTTCATGGTGTGGTTCTTAATTACCATTATATGAATGCATAAATCATATGCATAATGGTGAGGTCATGCCCATTTTCATGTTTCATGCACAAAATTACTCTACAGATTTTGATTAAATGTTTTGAAAGCTGTTAGGGGAACTTAATTTTGGTTCGTGTCAATCCACTTAGCCTCCTATCCAGTGGGTAGTGGGAGCTCTTTCCCAAGAGTGAGGTGGCCGGGGTTTGAAGCTGACCACTTTCCTCTATCTAGTGCCAAAGTTAAGAATGGTGGAGCTATACAGCCACTCCCCCGTTTGTCTGCATGGCATGGTGTTTAATTATTAAGCACAGGGACAACATTACTTTTTTCCATTTACCAATACAATGTAATCCCTACATTACATGAAACTGAAATCATACATCATTTAATTCCTCAGAAATATTGTTCTAATTTTAGTGAGGTGGTATCAATTGATCGCTACTGTCAAGATAGATTCATTGACCTCTTGCCTGTATTGGATGTGGATACACATGTCTCATATGAGGACCTGACAGATATGTGGCCTGCATTCCAGGAGATCCTAGCCAGCTTCCCAAATCTGAGGTATGGAATGAGTACATAAGTGCATCTGTGCACACTTTAGAAAATCTTGGTAGAGCATTTCTAAGTAGTACAGCTTATGTCATTGTGATGTTTATGTATTTATGTGTAGATTACCTCCAAATAACTCTTGCACCAGTCTGCAGACTTTCATGGGCCTCTTCTATACTTTAATTTTCTGTCATCAGTAATGTCAACATACTAACTTTTGAGTTGGGATTGATACTATTGCCACTTAATACCCAGTGATGATATTTTCAGTGCTAGTAGATTTTCGAAAGATACTCCACACGTGTTCAGGTATTTCTTATGCAGAATTTATGACAGCAAAATGGCAACTGCACAGAATGTGTGTATGGCTTTTAGTTTGTTGGCCGTGACCAATAAACCGTTGGAATTAGGCGTGTGCAATTTGGTATGGAGAGATACCATGAACATACCTATGTATTATATACAGGGTGTCCCAGGAGGAATGTGCCAGACTTCGGGAGGGTGTTCCTTATGTTAAAATATGTCAATATAACCCAAAACACCTATGTCCAAAGTTGAACGGTTATGGAGATAATGGCCAGAGAGGTGTGAAACTTTGACAGGTGTTACACACTTGTTGATTACCAAATACATATTAAAACTGGCAGGAATATGTGGTTTCTGTAATGTTAATAATGTACATAACATCAAACTAACTTGTGAGTGACATGAAGCCATTAAATTGAACTACAAGAAAACTTGCACGCCGTGTAATAGTTGTCTTTAGGTTTCCAAGCACTATAACATGCCATGCAATGGGACCATCACGACCTAACCAGTGATTAGGGAAGAATTCATCTGAGTAGTGTCTCACGTGCTGAGTGTAATGTGGGAGAGCCCCATCATGTTGGAAATACATTTGGCTCCTTATCGCTAACGGGATATCTTCCAACAAACATGGTATCTCATTCCTCAGGAAGGCTTCATACGTGTTTCCAGTTAACCTTTAAGAGTCGGCATTTAAACCCCCCACGACTGCGCTGCTGCCGGAGTTAATTTGACGTTGCCCTTTTAATATTGTAGACTTTCAGATAAAACTACATATTTTCCGTTCTTTGCAGCTTAGAAATACGAACTAAAAACCGCCTGAAAGAGAATGAAATTTCCTACAATATACCTATGGAAATTTTTACAAATAAAAATTAACTGTAATTGTTATGTCATGAAATTCAAAATATACTCTCTATTATATGTGTAATGAAATTCCAAAAGACTTACCCATAATTTTTTCTTCAAATTTGAGACGTCGTTATATCCAAAATACATTGACACTATACACCAAAATGTTTGGTCAGACTGTACACGAGTTTCAACTCGTTGCGTCGTGTAAGTTTACGCTACTATAGATACTGCGTGCGGGAGCGCGGAGAGGCAGAGTTTGCTTCAGCGCGTTGTGAAGGTC